TATATGAATAAACAACTATTTTCTTTTTCCTTCTCATCAGAGACAGTTTCCGTTCAATGTTTTGCAGTCGTGCCATGTCACCGGTGACCCTCGCCACTGGTCGAATGCAAAAGAAGGCTTTACGAGGTGAGGGATTTCCGAAAGGGTGAATTCAGAACACTGATGACTTTGGGACCATTGCCAGAAGGTCGTAAAACGAATCATTTTGCCGTCTTCTGTGGCAACAATGCGTCATTTGCATCAAACTACGTTCGCCTATAAAGATGATGACAAGCTATGCAAAATTTTGACTTATGATTTTACAAGTTGGTTTACTTTTTACTAATTCCGAAGATAATTTCGACGTATTTCCAAAATTTCCTTTTAGAAGTAAAAACACAAAACTCGCTTTTTATGGCCTTCTCAAACCGTTTCTCTAGGGCATTGAACAACCCTTGTCTAAATTGATGATTATAGTAATGGTGATGATAATGATGAGGGAATACCGGGAAGTAGGGGGTTTTGTATTCCCCAAGCACAGAGGTCTTTTGGTTTATTGTACTTTTCCTAGTTCCTTAGTTCAGTTCAATTGACTCAATTGACCTTCTTTTAAGAAGTAGAACATCATTGTCTCATTGCTGCAATTCATTTTCAGGATCTTCTTGGCACCCTAGGTTATGCCTCAATTGCGTGGTTGCTTCCCATTATGCCCATCCATTCTGCTACGCCTATAAAAAGTTCAGTTAATATTTTTCTTTCGTTGATTTCATTTGATATTATTCTGATCCTTAATCCTTTTTCAATGTCTCTCAGGTAGGCATTTAAATGGGTACGACAGTGTCAGGGCTATAACATTATTAGAAGAAGGATACAGCCAGCATGAAGAGACTGAGGATAAATAACTCTACAATAGGAAAGCGCATCAGAGAAACAGGGCTTTACACTAGAAAGCACTAGATAGGGTCGACCTAGATCTGCAGATGAAAGAGACGATAGATTCATCCGCCATCAGATTCTACGAAACCACAGCATTACAGTAATTAGATAAGAAATCTGGTAAGACAAGTTTGAAATGTTTCGTTTTCTCCAGGACGTAAGAAGAAGGATCAAGGAAAATAACCGCAGGCTCGTGGACCTATTTTTACCACAGCTCAGAAAATGGCTAGTCTTCAATTAGCACGGAAAACATGTGAATTGGACATTAGAAGATAGGGGATAAGTTCTCTTTACAGATGGGGTGAGAGTTGGCCTTAAATCTTCAGATGGGCAGAATTCTTTGTGGAGACGCTCAGGAAAAAGGCACGCCCCGTGCTGAACGGTTCTCCAGGTGGCATTCCATGGTGGGTCATTGATGTTCTGGGGAGGCATTCCTTGGACGCCCGCACCGAATTGGTTGTGCGAGGAAGATCTCTAACTTCACAGAGGTATTTACAAGACATAATCGAATAACATGTAGTGCCAAACCCCCCCCCCCAACGGTAAGAGATTTTTTCAAATGCAATATAATGCCAGGTTCTGTAGAGCAAATATTGTGGATGACTATCTGAATAAGGTTGGTATTGAGATCTTGATATGACGAGCTCGAAGTCCAGATTTGAACCCAATCGAACAGGACTTTAGGACAACTTTAGGACCAACTTAAGTGACGAGTACGAATGCGAAACTCAGGTCCTAACTCCCTAGAAGAATTGAAAACGAAGGGGTTTTATCAGATCATAAAGTTTTTAGGTGTATAAAGTTTGTAGTGGAAACCTACGGTTCACCACGGTACCCGCTAGGTGTTACAGGGATGGTTTGATCTCGCCCTCCACTCTGCGGCGAATCAGAGCAGAGCCAGTGTGTATATGCACATGCAGGAGCACTGCCTCACTGGATTCAGACTCGTCTACTCGGCGAGATCTCACCTATCACCTCGAGACTCGTCTCTTCGACGAGTTCTCGCTTGTCACTAATGAAGTACCTACGACAATGGCAAGAGTACTCTCAGCGTTAACCGTAGAGCCGACTTGGCTACAGGCAAACCGTTGGAATCGGCCAACTGCTGCACCAGAGTCCCTTCAACCGAAGTAGAGTCATCCGACTCACATCCACGGACCTCAACCAACTGCTCTCTGTACAAACAGGCACACACACTCGGTTTAGGCCTCGATACATCGTCTCAACGCTACGCTTCCAAACAACACCGTCCCTTGTCAGGGCCACCAAAAAACTCCCAGTCACTAAAAGTTAAATTAAAGTGAGTACGTATGTCCGCAAGTACTTGTCATCCTCGAGTATGACATGAGATAGCGAGACCCAGCGGACCAGAATAGTCAATCATGTTCAAACCTTCTTGTGCAAAAAAAATACCCGCAGGCTGTGTGTATCCGTCAGGCTTTGTCTTTTGAGGCCTCCATGCCATCGCACCAACAAGACTAGGACAAATTATGAAATGTTCCGCGGTTTCTTCTTCTTCCTGGCAATATCTGCTCAGACTTGTTTTGCTGCTCTGAGTCTATATATATCCTCAGGAGTCAGCGGGCCAAGTCAGCAGTTCTACTGTCATTCCATTCCTGAATCGTTCTAGGTTTGTAGTAATTGTGCTGTTAAATTCTACAACGTCCTTTGAAGGAACTAAATTTTATTATTCTGTCCTGGAAAAGCAACCCCATTGGACCTCGAACATTTCTTCTTAACCAGTTCTTAACCCATTATCTCATCGATTTATATTGTTGGTATGCCCCAAAAGGGTTCAGGGCCGATAGGTGTCCTGATTAACTATCCTTAGTCAGTTTATCGGTCTCGTCGTTGCCCCCAATGCCTGACAGTGTCTTGATGCAATCCAAATTGGTTCTTGACTTTCTGTCGATGAGGCTCTGAGTCTACATGCCTCCGGTGAGAGCAGTCCCACTATAATTCTACTTCTGGAACGCCCTAGGTTTAGTAATTATGCTGTTAATTTCTGCGGTCCTGTAACCAACATATGCCAGTCCTCGTATTTAAATGTAAGGCTTTTTACCAGATCCTAAAGTTTTTCAGGAATTCTTCAGGATTTTGTCAGAAATCTTTTCCTAGGAATAAAAAGTCGTTTAACGGATGTGATTCGATGTGAGGCAAAATACGAATAAACATAATACACACATATAATACATTAAAATTGAAGGGTGGCGGGTATGTTTTTCCAGTTAAATTTCTTCCTGAACAACATTCGTAGTATAACAAAGTTATTCAAGACTTTGCCACACACGGTTAAACTTCAAAAAGTTCACAGGAAACCAAAGTTGAAAAGTAGAGCAACAAATACAACATACACACAAAATATTAATTTAAAAATTACGTAAAGTTTAAAAGTTAAAACCTCACGCATCCCGACCAAAATTGGTCTATTGGTTGCAATCTTTATAAGACTCTTCTTTATGGGTAAGGATTTTTACCAGATCCTAAAGTTTTTTTTAGCGATTCTTCAGGATTTTATCAGAAATCTTTTCGTAGAGATGCAAAGTCGTTTAACGGACTTGATTCGTTTCACTAAAGGGAACAAAACTTCTTTTTTCTATTATAATTTTATATGTGCAATTTTTTGTACTTTACTCAATAATAATTGTTTTTTAAATGTCATTTTTACAACCAAACCTATTTTTGTAGGCAAAATATGATTAAACATACACATATAATACATTAAAATTAAAGGGTGGCGCGTATGTTTTTCCAGTTAAATTTCTTCCTGTACAACATTCGTAGAATAACAAAATTATTCAAGACTGAGACACACAGTTAAACTTCAAAAAGTTCGCAGGTAACCAAGTTGAAAAGGAGAGCAAAAAATACATCATACACACAAAATATTAATTTAAAAATTACGAAAAGTTTAAAAGTTAAATGTGTTAAAAGTTAAAACCTCACGCATTCCGACCAAAATTGGTCTATTGGTTGCAATCTTTATAAGACTCTTCTTTATGGATAAGGATTTTTACCAGATCCTAAAGTTTTTTTTAGCGATTCTTCAGGATTTTATCAGAAATCTTTTCCTAGAAATGTAAAGTCGTTTAACGGACTTGATTCGTGTCACTAAAGGGAACAAAACTTTATTTTATTTTAATTTTACATGTGTAATTTTTTTGTTCTTTACTCAATGATAATTGTTTTTTTAAATGTCTTATTTTTTACAATCAAACCTATTTTTGTAGGCAAAATATGAATAAACATACACATATAATACATTAAAATTTAAGGGTGGCGCGTATGTTTTTCCAGTTAAATTTCTTCCTGTACAACGTTCGTAGTATAACATAATTATTCAAGACTGAGACACAGTTAAACTTCAAGAAAGTTCACAGGTAACCAAAGTTGAAAAATAGAACAAAAAATACATCATATCCACAAAATATTCAGTTAAAAATTACGTAAAGTTTAAAAGTTAAATGTGTCGATCTCTGTTTACGACCTCACGCCCACCGACCAATATTGGTCTATTGTGCAATCTCTATCAGACTCTTCTTTATGGGTAAAGCTTTTTACCAGATCATAAAGTTTTTCAGGAATTCTTCTGGACTTTATGAGAAATCTTTTCCTAGGAATGCAAAATCGTTTAACGGCGTGATTCGTGTCACTGAAGGGAACAAAACCTTTTTTAAAACTTTTTTTTTAATTTTTAATTTTATGTATAATTTTTTTGTTCTTTACTCAATAATTGTTTTTTTTAAATGTCTTATTTTTAAACCAAACCTGTTTTTAGTAGGCAAAATATGAATAAACATACACATATAATACATTAAAATTTAAGGGTGATATTTTGTCCAGTATGTACATAAATATATTTTTTGTGGTTGATTTTTTTTTCCTTGGCTACAAGTGTTATTGTATTTATTATTTAGTTATAATCTGTTCTTTTTATCTAATGTTAAGTTTTTAAATACTAAATTTTTATGTATGTTTCGTGTACTCTTGACTGTTCACTTTTGGATTATTTGACTCGTTTGAACTGCAATAAAATGAAAAAAATGAATGAACTGCCGACCAAGTTAAACTATAAGTGAATTTATTGAAATATAAGTGAACTATTTTTCCTTTTATTTGGATTAAAGAATTGAAATTCAGTAAGTTTCTTAGAGTAATAATATTAAGCTCTCCAGTACTTTGGTGACGATGGAGTAAAAAAGTAGGCGATGGCGACGTCCAAAGATAAGAAGTAGGTGGTAGGTCAGGAGTCTCAACAGTTCTTTATCTTCTCGTAAAGAACATGATTATCTCCTCTAGGCCACAAACGCAAGCCTTTATTTTGATAAACTTTTAAAAAGACTGATTAATTTTAGTTCAACATGTCTCAAGTTCAATTCCATTTGAAGTGATTAAGTAATTTAGGTGAGTAAACTTCAGATTTTGTTGGTTGTTTATACTTGTCCCAATGACCTAAAGTGCATGTGTGTTTGTTATTCTTACCCTGTTCTTATTAATCTATTTCAATCCTTGGTTTTTTTTAAGTTTTAAACTGTGTTCAATGAATTCATCTTGCAATTTTATTAATTTAAATTATAATTCGACTGTCTTTTTGAAATAACGCTAAGAAATTTTCAGTTCCAGGAGAGAAAGAATCAGCAGCTGGAGTAAATAATCAAAACGATACTGGTTTATAATGGAGAACGAGGCGAGTAAAAGCTCGCAGTGGAAGCTTGAAACGTTTACGCCTGTTTTTCTCCTTCTAACTGCCGTCCCGCTTGCTATCATGCTCTGGTTGGGCAATGTAGCTTTCAATATAATCAAATCTGGAAATGATGGTATTGTTGTACATTTATATACTTTGGACAGCTATTAACTATATTTTTAAACTGTACACTAGATAAGGTTTGTTTTAAAGGGAGCTTTGGACCGCTGTCTCGTACAAGGCTTGGTTGAGATTTCGTTGGAGCCTCTTGTTTTGTCTGCTTTTCTTGTGTTCCTGGTTGACCTCGGGAAGATAATTTGTTCTCACTTCACTCAGACAAGTTTCATAATAGGAAAATCAACCCTCCCATTCCAGATTTCAACTAGTTGTGTTGTTAAATTAGCGAAAACATTATTAAGTTGAAGATGGGATGATGTATCGACCCGCTTGTTGAACAACTTGAACAGAGGGTCTTCGGTGAGGTCACAACAGAAACGACAATTTTTATTTTACAATTATATCGAAGCCCTGATGATGACGACATAATTGTCGAAAGCTCGGCAAAAACTTAAAAAATTGTCCTTTCTGTATTGACCTCACCGAAGATCCTTCTGTTGAAATTATTAAGTTGGTTCCAGACATGCGATATTCGCCGAATGCCGCCGAATATTTGCCAGGTCTCAAGATGCTCGTCTTGGCATTCGCCAAATAGAGTGCTTACGGGATTTTTACAACCAGTTTGTGCAGAAACAGCGAATATTCTGCTACTGTTCATATTCAATTACTGTTTTGAGTAATGGCTTCAGACTCGGCCACAAATCAGCCAGAGAGTACTGTTGCCCCATCTTACTTTCGATCAGTTTCAAAGCATTCCAAATTATTGGTTCATTTATATGGTGTTGATAGAGGAACTCCAAAATTGTAATGTTGGGCCAATCCATTCTTAACCAACAGAAACAATGCTATGTTGTTCTTTCATTAACACGTTTATACTAGTTAGGAATTGTTTATTATTTAAAAAAAAAAAACAGTAGTTAAGTACTAAAGTAGAAAGTAGAAATATACTTTTGATCCGTTTCCAAGCACTTGTTCTGATTTCTTAATTCGGAAGAGAAGCGTTCCAAATTTTTGGTTCAAATTGAGGAACTCCAGGACTGTTAAATTGGACCAACAGAAATAAAGTTATGTTTTTCTTTCATTAACACTTCTATACTTGTTAGGAATCGTTTATTATTAAAAAATAAATATCCGTAAATAGAAGTAAATAATAACTGTTGATTGATGATTACATTTCATGATTGATGAGTACAGTTGATTTCCGAATGTTTGGATGCTTTGAGTTGGGCAACTTCATCAATATTCATGCACTTTGAAGTGGACAAGAAAAACCAACAATTAGCTGAGGTGGTGAGCATCAAATATTGTCGCCCGGTGAATAACGAGCACCGATCCTCACTAGTCTGGATTTGGCGAACCTTTGCTCGGCATTTGGTGAATCCACATGTCTAGAGCTACCTTTACACTGCTTCATTTGGGATGCTTAACTTACTTTCAAAGAATATTGTAACTTATTAAATTGTAACGACTGTGTGCTACTCCCCCTCATTGCAAGAATGACTGATTTTTTTTAGCCCAGGGCTTTCTAATTGAGGTACCCTTATAAGCTCAGCCAGAATCCTGAACATCCTCTTCTCCTTACTAGGTTGATGCAATTGCAGCAGCTGCGCCAGATATTCTGTTGGAGATGGTCCTCAGAGTGTCTTATCCCCATTAAACCTGGGGTAGTGGTCTTCCTCAAGAGTACATGCAGCTCCTGCTTAGCTGTAATTCTTTCCAGGTCCTTGTGCACAAGGGTCGTCAATAGTAAATACTAAAGCTAGTTCTTTTTTACGACTTGCCCACGACATAGTAACCCTCCCTCTTATGGACTTAGGACCCTACTTCTCTTTCTCTTTTATGCAGTGATTTTCCCCCAGAATGCATCTTTTGTTTTTATCCATTTTTTTTTTTTTTTTCAAAAAATATACAATTTTATTCATCACGTCTGCCTTGTTTTAATAGGGTGACTTTGGGAAAAATATTAAGACAAATAAAATTTTATTATTTTGTCCAGTCTCTCATGAGCCAAAACGTTTTGATGTAACTTTCCAGAATAGTGAAAAGGAGAGACGTAACTATTTCAAATGCTCATCAATGTACATATTTTGAAAGGTTTTTTGATCTGAATTCATTGGTGCAAATGGTTTTCAATTTGAAAATCTCAGGTTATTCAAACCAAGAGCCAATTTTTTCTTGATTCACTCCACTTTTTCTTTTAACATTTTTTACCATAAGTCGAGCCGTATAAAAACTAAAATTTAGTGTGATGATTTTTAAGATGAGTGTTAACTATGTATTAAAACATTCCAGTCTTTTTTTGGGATTACTTAAAAGCCTCAAGTGCCAACAAAACAATTTTTATTTATGTTTTTTTAATTATCAGTTAATTCCTTCTTTTTTTTTCTTTTTTTTTTTCCGGCTGGCTAACTACTAGGGTCATTGCCGGCACCTCATGAATATAAGCTTCGTGCATTTTTCTTTGTTTCATTTCAACTTTATCTCTATCTCATTCACTATATCTCTTCTTTTAATTTTGTTTCCTACCGACCAAACGGAGGAGTGTCTTGTTGCTCTTTCCTACCATCCCACACGTGGTTTGTTAAAAATACTTCAATATTTACAGACTCACGAACAATACCCACTCACGCTTATTTATTACCTAATCTACAGTTGGCAGGGCTCAGAGTAAAGGTGCACGACTGAGGTCCTGCCCCTACAACTAAATAAAAAGTCGGTAGGATAGTCATAATCCTACCGACTTTCTTCTATTCATGCTAATAAATACATTCATACAGTATGTACAGCATTTCATTCATCCATTAGACTAATTTCCTTTTGACGGGCTTGTGGAGTACTCGATATTCCTCGACATCCACGTCCATTTACACAAAACATTCACGCTAATAAATACATTCATATTGGAGAGGTCACAGCATCTCGGTAGTATTACTACAACCTTGATAGCGACCTGTCCCTCACATCACACAACAAATATATAATTACCTAAACTAATTTGGCGGGCCTTTGAGTTAATTGATATTCAGTCACAGCCACAGCCAGATATACCTCATCACTCACGCTAATAAATACATTCACACTGCAAAATGGAGATATACCATGTTGGTTGGTTATATGTATCCATACGCATTTATCAATTTTAAGTACCTAATAAGATTATCTTTGAAGTCACTGTTATGCTTAAGAACTATTTCCAGATTAGATGGTAGGTCACACTGTTCTCGGTACTCTCTTAACTTATTACATTCCTCTAATAGGTGTCTCACCGTTACCGGGTTTCCACAGAGTGGGCAGCGTTTTTGACTTCTACCCACTAAGAGGTGACCGTGCGTGAGACGGGTGTGACCTATTCGCAACCTTGTTAATATTATTTTGTTACGTTTTTCAAAATTCTCCACGGGCCATGGCCTCACCGTACTTTTATGTATTTTTACTTTTTCATTACTTTCGTTCCAGCGAGCCTGCCATTTGCAATAAATCGAATTCATTTTTGTTTTTAGATCCTTCAGGCTAATGGTCGGGGTCATGTGGGGTCATTAATTCCTTTAAATTTGTATTTGTGGACCAAAATTTGCATCAAGCTGAATCACACTTTAATGGGCAACATCTAGAGCATCCTGTTAGCCATGTTATTTGACGGAATTATTGCTAAGTTTTGAAACATCTGAAACGATTAATTTACCTACCAGTTAAAATTATAAACAAATAGATTGATTCTTGGTTGAAGAGGATTTGATTTTTCTGAAAAACAATGTTCAGAAGTAGTATTTTACAAATAACTTGAGAAAGCTTGCTCCAAATTAAAAATTGTTTGCAATGTTGAAGTCAATGCAGAAAAACCGCCAGAAAAATTATTTCTGTATAATCTTGTGCCTCGAGCTACACTTCCGCTTGATCTCTCTACGCTAAACCTCGTTTTTACACCTATTTAATTACCTGTTTTATTTATCTTATGAGTCAGTTCTTATTTAATTTGTGAAATTTGAGAATAAGACTCCAAATTATACAAGACTATGATTGACTCAGGCCTAAAGTAGCGTTGTTGACTGAAATTGATATGTTACAGAAAAGACCTTGGAAATATTTTTTGACAAACGTACAATACATTTAAATTGTCCACATTGAATTCCTTTCCTTTTATATATACAGGGTGAGTCAATTTTCGGTGCACCATTGGAAAATCAACTTGTGTGCATTTAAATCTGACTCAAGGCCTATTTCTTTTGATTTTAACATTAAAAAAAGGAAGCGAGTCAATTTTTGATGCACCATAGGAAAATCAACATTGGTGCATCTAATTATGACTCGGCACATTTTATTTTGTTAGTCTCGTACCAAAAAAATAGGTGAGTCACTTTTCAATGCACCATTCGTTACAAATTAGTTTTAGTAGGTTGGAAGGAAAATAAACAAAACCAATATTATTAAAACATTATTCAAACACAATGTAAAAATTTAAAAAAAATCTTTAGAAATTAATTTGATTAAGGTTTAAGAGTATTTTTTTCTGGTAAAGTAAAAAGATTAAATAAATGTAACAATCTCCTTTTTTCTGGTAAAGTAAAAAAATTAAATAAATGTAACAATCTCCTTTTTTTCTGGTAAAGTACAAATATTAAATAAATGTAACAATCTCCTTTTTTCTGGTAAAGTAAACAAATTAAATAAATGTAACACTCCTTTTTTCTGGTAAAGTAAAAAAATTAAATAAATGTAACAATCTCCTTTTTTCTGGTAAAGTAAAAAAAATAAATAAATGTAACAATCTCCTTTGTTAGCAAACCAAAAATGTTCAAAATCATTATAATAATTGTTCGAACAGACCTCTATTTGCTGCAACACAGTATCCTAGTCTATCGTAAAACGATGATCGGACAAAAAAAAAAAAACTTTTAAACCTTAATCAAATTAGTTTGTGAAGAATTTTTTTAATTATTTTTACATTGTGTTTGAATAATGTTTTAATAATATTGGTTTTAAGAAGTTCTTTTCAGAGGATCTTCGGAAGAGGTCAAATACCTCAAGAAATTTTGACCTCTTCCGAAGATCCTCTGAAAAGAACTTCTTGTATCCAGCAGGTTGATAATCTATTTTCATCTTAATATTGGTTTTGTTTATGTTCCTTCCAACCTACTAAAACTAATTTTTAACGAATGGTGCATCGAAAAGTGAGTCGCCTATTTTTTGGTACGAGACTAACAAAATAAAATGTGCCGAGTCATAATTAGACGCACCAATGTTGATTTTCCTATGGTGCACCGAAAATTGACTCAGTTTCTTTTATTAACATATTAATCAAAGGAAATAGGTCTTGAGTCAGATTTAAACGCACCCAAGTTGAGTTTCCAATGGCACGTCAGAAAATTACTCACCCTGTATATATATAAAGTTCTTCTTTTTTGTAATTTCTTAATCCCACTTTTGAAATCATTAGCACTCGGTTATAGTCTGTGAAGTAAAACATTGTGATTTGTTTGTGCGGGGTCAAACATTTGTCATTCTAGTCCGACTTTGCATGCACTCTGGTTTTGTCTGTCATGTATGTTTCAAATAATCGGAGACAATCAAGCGACATATTTTAAATATGGACTTAAGTTAGTCATGTCTGATTATCTCTGAGTTCAGTTTTTCTTGATTTGTATGAATATTTATTAGAAACTGTTCTATGTAAAATTAAATCATACTGTTTTTTTAGATGTGATCCCTCCAACCAGATGGCTCATGTCTACATTAGCCCCGATGCTTGTCGTTTCTTGGGGTTTAAAAAAAAAGTCTCTCAACAAAAGTGGTGCCATTGTTGGTGTGTGCCTTTTTATAATTACAGCAATTCAGAAATATAAAATTTATAAACAATTCTTTCACAGGTTTGTTTATCGGTTTTATTCTGACCCTTTCCAACTATGGATTCATGTTGTCCCTAATTGTTATGTTCATTACTTCATCCCAGGCAACCAAATTCAAATCAAAGCTAAAAAAGAGACTCGAAGTCGATCATAAAGAAGGTAAGCATGCAAGTTTTGTTAAAAAGGAATGGAAATTTTGTATAATATTTATAGGAGGTCAGAGGAACTGGATACAAGCGCTGTGCAATGGGGGGATGGCAACACAGCTCGCGCTACTTTATTTACTAGAGGCTGGAAGTGGAGAAAGACCAATAGACTTCATCCAAGACTATCGCTCATCCTGGTTAGCACTTGGTGTTGTAGGTAACTTTTCTCTATATAAATTGTTTCTCTAAATGTAATTGTACAAGTTTTGAATTTTTCTTTAGGAACTATAGCATGTGCAAACGCTGATACCTGGGCTTCAGAGTTAGGCACCGTTTTATCCAAATCCGATCCTTGGTTAATAACTACTGGCAGGAAGGTTCCAAAAGGTGAACGGTTAATTATTATTCAAGACATTGTCGTCAATTTCAGTTACATTTTAGGTGTGAACGGTGGCGTATCACTGATCGGACTTTTAGTGAGTCTTGTCGGTGGGTGTGTGATCGGTGCGAGTTATTACCTGGTGGTTGTTTACACAGCAGATAGTAAACACATCGGGGAATCACCACCACAATGGCCCATCATTCCGACTTCAGCTTTGGCCGGCCTCCTGGGCAGTGTAGTCGATTCTGTCTTAGGCGCTACACTCCAGTACTCTGGTTAGTATATTAAAAAAAAAAAAAGTCGTAAACTTGACATGTGTTTTGTCCAGGTGTGGATAAAAAGACAGGATTGGTCGTTGAACATGTTGGACCAGATGTGGTGTACATTTGTGGGAGACGGATTCTCGACAACCACAGTGTGAACCTAATTTCAACGATAATCACCGGACTGGTCACGCCGCGGATAGCCAACATGATCTGGCCATATTAGCCACTAAAACATTCCCTCCATTAAAAAAAATATATAAATGTCCTAGGTATTATTATTATTCAAGAAAACTGTAAATAAGTCTTTATGTATATGAAGAAATAAAACACTTTGAATATTGTAAGTGTTTGGTTTTATTATTAACCAGTTCATTATTTGTAATCCTGATCCATGTACATAGCTTTTCAAAGGAAGTTATATTTGTTAATACTTATTAGCTATTACCAACTAAAAAAGATATACAAACATGAATTTACCAGTACAAATCTATGTAGAAAGATTTTTTTTTTTTTTTTAGAAAAGCAGACACAAGAAGAATCTTCCTCAGATTATTTTTACATTTAAAGCCACAGCTTAAAAAGCAGGAAATAATTTACTGTTTATAAACAAAAGCTAATTTAGAATTGTAGTTTGGTCTGCCTATCCTCACTGGTTGGGTCTGTGTGTTTTTTGCTACCTTTAGTCCTGGGTCAGAGTTGATTACTTGGAAAAGTTAAAAGTTTCTACTTCCTAAAGTTTTACATTTATAATTTAATAAATACAGGTAGAATTTAACTAGCATGTATTTATGATTGAAGATGGCAAAAAATTCAAAAGCATCTGTCACACCAAAGCACAAATCAGTTCATCAAATAGACCAAAATGCCCATCACAACAGACTAAAATAGGTTCATCACCCTACAAAGAAATATTTAATTTATTTAATTTGGAATTACTTAGTACTAGTAATTCCAAAATTCAGATTTGATCAATTTCAAATTGAAATACCCCCATTGGTCAGGAGTTAGTATCTATGGGAATAAACCAAGAACAGGAATATAATTACTTGGACAACATGCTGCAGTATTTTAGGTGGAAACTGTGGCAATTGAACACTGTGCCAGGGAGATTTTTACTATGTATTACCAACAAAAGAATAGCCATTGCTCGGACAGTCACACAGCACTGAAAGCAACTACATCATCAGAATAAAGTTCAAAGCTGTTTGGGACTGCATCAAAACCCTGGTAGACGTGGGAAAAACAAAATTACCCTTATTTGGGTACAAGGCTGATATATTGGACAAGGAAAGTTCAACGAGGACACCTAAAAGCCCTAAACCTTTTGCAGCATACTAAATTGCCAGAAACGTACATTCTTTATTGTATTCCAAGATATGCAAAAAAGTTCATCAAAGGACCATCAGAAAAATACTAAATCTAAGACATGGAAAAATTATGGATTGCAGACCCCAGAGTTATAAGTATAGATTCAGAACAGCAGAAACAAGACTGTGCAAGGAGGAAGAAAACATGTCCTCTTTGGTGCAAAGGCTAAGATTCATTCTCCTGGGATCAGAAAAGCCCAGGCCTGAACACCGGAGCCCCAAACAAAACTTCATGAAAAGTTCTAAACAAATATAGAGATTGAATAATAGACTAATATCGGTGACAATGCATAAGGTCATAAAGAGGCTGACTTCTAACCTTAACCTTAGAACTTGATACCATCCTTGGCCTAAAGATATAAATTGGAGGAATTTAGGCATGATAAAATTACTCCACCAGGACTTAACCCACCTATTCTATAAAATGAATTAATAATTAAAAACCATTTCCAGATTTTTTTGTGTGAAATTCATCTGCCTTTCTCCTTTATCTTTACCATGAGTGGAAAACCAATATATTTTTATCAAAGCATTTATCTTGAACTTATTGTTGAAGTAATGTGTTATTATCATTCTTAGCCTTTACCCCTTGATATTTTCTCTTGATTTCAAAATTATTAACAAAGCATTTTCAACCTGATTTTTCTTTTTAATCAAACCTTCACGATTCAGTGGTTCAGCAATCAATAAATTTTTCCCTTTTTCATCGTTAACAGTTTTTATTATCATCTTCCTTTTATCTTCTACAGTTTGATCGCCGATAACTTTATAAATTTTGGTTTTATTTGAGATGAATCACTGCAGCTTATTAATCCCCCTTGTTGTAAGGCAGGGGTCGGCAACCTGCAGCCCTTTGCAACTTTTTGCGCGGCCTGCCAAAGCCCAATTTAATTTTAGGAAAAATCAACAAACTTAGAGCGTGAGCGCGCCGAAATGTGTGGTGACAATGCGCGCTAACAGAAGCATAGGGAAACCTATTTTACCCTAAATTAAAAGAAAATTCTTCACATTTTGAGTATTTTTCACTAGCACTTGATGAAACGATATAACTAGCACCGCTCAATTGTTGATTTTTATCTGTGGAATTGATAAACAATTTTTTGTAACAGAAGAACTTGCTGCATTAAAAAGCCTCCATGGGAATACAAGAGGTGAAAATTTTGCAACTATTAGATGTTTTCAATATGTACGATCTCAAGTGGGAAAAATTAAAAAATGTGACAACTGACAGTGCAAAGAACATGGGTCACAATACTGGTTTGGTAGGCATGATTAATCAAAAAAATTGAAAGAATTAAATATTACACAGCCTCCTCTACAACTTCAATTGTATTATCCATCAACATGCACTTTGCGCAAAAGTTGTAAATTTGAAAAATGTTATGAATATTGTAGTAAAGTCCATCAATTATATTCGCAAAAACGGTATGAAACATCGAACATTCCGGAATTTCTTAAATGAAATTGACGCAGAATATGAAGATATCATTTATTTTTCTGAAGTAAGATGGCTCAGCCGTGGGAAAGTTTTAAAAAGATTTTTCAAGTTGATAGACGAGATTGAAATGTTTTTGACAGAAAAAGGAAATAATATACCAGAATTATCAAATTTTAAATGGATAAGCGAGTTAGCTTTTTTTAACATTACAACTTACCTCAATAAATTAAATATAACACTACAAGGCAAAGGAAAGTTAATCAATGAGCTATTTACAGAAATCAAAAGTTTTCAGCTTTTTCTCAACTTGAAAAGAATAATTATTGTGATTTTCCTACTTTGCAATCGTTTTTAACCAAAAACGACAAACATGTTCTTCGAATATTTTTATTGAGTCACTAAAAGTACTGGATGAAAATTTTCATCGTATCAAGATTTTTATGCAAAAGAAATGGACATAGTAATATTTGAAAATCCTTTAAAATTTGATATTGTAAAAGCACCAGACAATTTACAACTAGAGTTAATTGATTTGCAATCTAACAATGTATATAAAAATAATTTTGATGAAAATAATTTAATTGTATTTTATTCAAATCTACCAGAAAACAAATTTCCCAATTTAAGAAATTTTGCAAAATCAATGATTTGTATTTTTTCAAGCACCTATTTATGCGAACAAACATTTTCAAGAATGAATTTCATAAAATCAAAATATAGAACGAGGTTGACAGATGAAAATTTACAAAACTTGAGGATCTCAGTATCCCAAACACAACCGGTCTTAAATGTATTATCAAACAATATTCAAGAACAAAAAGCGCATTGAATTTTAATGAATGAATCAAATGAAAGATAAACTATTTTCCTTAATATTTTATACTTTCATATTTATATATTTTATATTTACATATTTATACATATGGATCCATCTATAATTGGAATTGTATTTTCTTTTTTTTCCCTTTTAAGAATTGTAAAATTTTTGTTCTCTGACATTATTGTTATTACAGCATGTCAATCAAAAATAAATTTTTTCTATATTTATTTTTAATAATATTTATACTCGTATATGAGACATGCTATAATAACAATAATGTCAGAGAACAAAAATTTTACAATTCTTAAAAGGGAAAAAAAAGAAAAGAAAAAAGAAAACTGTGGAAAAACCATCCTTCACTCATGGTTCCAAGAGATGACATGAACAGTTTGAATTTAACCAAAAATTCCGAATACATCTGGGCACCAAAAAGGAATGGGAAAGAAAGGGAAATAACTCCCTCAAAAATGGCACCATCCTTTGGTACACAGATGGATCTAGAACACAGGAAGGTACGGGGGCAGGAGTGTTTGGACCCGGAACCAAATACTCAGAACCCATGGGAAAGCACACCAGTATCTTCCAAGCTGAGATTCACGCAATTGAAAGATGTATCCAATTCAATCTAAATAGAGGATACAAAAACAAGAATATAGCTATCATGTCAGATAGCCAAGCAGCCATCAAAGCACTAAGCTCAAATACCATTAGTTCAAGGATGGTGCTGAACTGCAAAACCAAATTAAATATATTAGGCTCGCAGAATAAAGTCAGCCTCTGCTGGGTCCCAGGACACATGGGAGTAGAAGGCAACGAGAAAGCGGACACCCTTGCAAGGAAAGGGGCTGCCACACCGCTGATAGGACCCGAACCCTTCTGTGGCATAGGAATCCACACTATTAACGAATATCTCAGACAGAAGGACAAAAAGAAAATGAGCGAACTTTGGAATTCACTTATTGGACATAGACAATCCAAGAATCTTCTAACCAACTTTGGCAAGAAAGAAATCACAGAATGTGTCAAAGGAAGCAGGAATAGACTGCGAATCCTAACAGGATTCCTGACAGGACACTGTAGATTAAATGGACATCTAAAGAAAATTGGAATAATCCAAGATGGCACATGTAGATTCTGCAAGGAAGCAGAAGAGACACCAACACACTTACTAACAAACTGCGGAGCTACATTAGCCCGCAGGAGGAAGTGTTTTGGGATGTACAATGTGACCATAGAAGAACTACAACCTCTGAAACCGGGCCTATTAATCAAGTTTCTTGATGAAATAGGACTCAGCGATGTGCTTTAGGCAGAGCACAGGGGATACAATAGCTCTTAAAGGGCGCAGTATACCATACTCTGAAACATTATATCTACATCTACATTTGAATGTGCGGCCCGCATAAAACATTTTATTTTGAAAATGGCCTGCAGTCCGAAAAAGGTTGCCGACCCCTGTTGTAAGGGATCATTTTGCCGTCTTATCCACTGCTTTTCATGAACTAAGCTTCCGCTTGCTGTTATTGTGTGCTATGTTATATAGCATGTGACTTGTATGCTCTTTGCAAAACTCATCTTGGTTAGGGTAAGACTTGAGCCAAATCTTGGAAGGATCCGTGTGCACTCCCGATTTGTCCAAATTTGTCTAGTCCTGAATCCTTGTTGCCTTCTCAATATTCAATTGAACGTTTCGGGTAATCAGGTCGTTCCATTCTAGAAGATTTATTTTCATTCTCCACATAATTAAAGTAATTCCTTGGTGTTCAGAAATTTTTTTTTGGACTGTAATAGTCTAGGTAAAAAGGTATCTTGTCATTTTGTGCTGGTATATCAACAAATCAGAAACGAATGAACTTTTATAGCGGTACATCAAAAACTGGGATGACTAAAATAACTAAAACGCTTATTTAATATGATAAAAACTGTTTCATCATTTGTATGCAAAGATGTATGTATAAGTGTACACAGTAATGTCTCTTGTATAATAAGGAATTAAATAAAAATAAACAAAACCATCAATTGGTTAAAAAAACACACACAAAAAAAACAACAGTATATTTACAGTAGTGAATTTAAACAAATTTAAAAAAAAAAATCACATTTTGAAAGACTATTCCGGTATGATTTTTGCAACTTGCCGCCATTCTTTCAACAACGTTTTCGGGCATTGCATCTGTGTCCAGCTAGTAGGAACCATTACTTCACCTAGACATTTACAAATAAAAAATTAAGAAACAAAAATCTCTCAGGAATATAACAATGACAAATTAAAAAATGACAAACCAGCTTCACTCTGAGCTATAACGACACCGAGCTCATTTTCTGCTGTGGAAAGCTGATAAGACTGAAGTTCTTTTATCGGCAGCTTGATAAATCAATTAAGGAAATATAAACGAATCAATCATTTAACAATTAATATCATTATTTAGGATACAACTCTAGCTAGAATGATATCGCCAGGCCTGAAGCACTTGTGGATCTCTACGGTATCTTTGTTCGTCGCCCTGACGTCTTCCTTTTTGATGATACCTCTTAGTGTTTTCTCTAAAGGGGTGTTTCTTATACATTGAATATTGCAGCGGACAAAACGCTGCGTCACTACTGTAATCTGCAAATATTAAATAAATAAAAAATTAAACATTTCCAGTGGTCTTCCAATATTCATAGTATGCCAGTCTAAAAGAATCTAAAAGACAGATACAGTTAAAATATGACAAACCAGCCAAACGAAATACACAATTTAATATGTTTTCTATTTATATTTGGAAATAAATAATGTTAATCCTCAGACCAATTTGCGGAAAACATACCTGCGCTGTCACAATATCTCCTGGTGTTGGTACAGTGTGCTGGCCCTTGTTTGTTTCGACTCCGACGATATAGAGCTGGAGAATAAATTAATTTAAAGCTAAGTGTTACAAATTAATAATATAAAATTTCTACTTTGTCTTTTTTATCCACAACGACGACCCCTGCCAGCGTTGAATATATGTAGCCTTTTCTCTCGTAAGTCCCTGGCCCAGAAATATGACTTTCATCTGCTGTGGAAAGTCTGTCACCTGGGGTTCAATAACAATAACACAAATTTTAATTTATTTTCAATTACCATTGACAATTTAACATTACCTGGTAAACAGTAAAGGACCATTTTTATTTGTATCGGTCAGTAAACAAATTTTAAAGTTAACACTTTAAAGATGTGTTGTCATTTAACAGCAAACAAACATCGGCGAATACTCCCAACGACTGTTATAAACCAAGCACGTGCTTTTTATCTTGGCAACTAGTTTCAGTGACAACATATTTGGTCATAAATTCATAAACTTTCAGTCAAATAATAATTAAATTAATTAACCAACATTAAAAAGATTTTCACAGTTTTAATTTCATTAATTTTTAATAGCGAGTACATTCAAATTTTAAAGTTTAAAGATGTGTCATTTAACAGCAATAATAATAATAAATTAATTAAATAAAATAACCAGCATGCCAATAAGCTTTTAAAAGTCTAAATAAATCAATATATGTATCTCATTATAGATTTCTATTGTCTATATGCTGCTTCATTAGTTATTTGAATTTTTTTTCTTCTAAATATTGTTTTTTTTTTTTTTACTTGATTAATTAGTTTATATCCTCCCTTAAATTTCTCTTCCTCTTCTTTCCACATGTAATTTGATGAAGATTCACATTTATACGCTGGACACTCATCGTATTGAAAATAAATATGAAATATTTCCAGCAAAATTAACAATTATTGGCCCAGTCTCATTTTTCATTGTAAGACTACATCGTATATTGTTTCCATTTTATGTTCACTAAGAAAATATATTTCAAAAAATTTCAGGCTGTAAAACATGTCATGATAATTATGCTGCATCATGAGAAATATCCACTTCAAATTGCCCCATTTGGCTACTGTGTTTTGGCTGAAAGGGATGCCTTCAGAACAAAATTTGACTTCAAGTTCATTCGTTGATACCATTAAGCATTTTTTGCTTTGCTTGCGTCAACTGTACAAACTTTTTTATATTATTTTTAACCTAGGAAAGAAAGTTCTTAATACTTAGATTAAGAATACAAATAGATTATTAATACAAACTTTTTAAAAAAATACAGCATGATTTTTGTTTGGCCTAATTCATTTATTAGCAGATTAACATTGCAAAATTGTAGGTAAATTGTTTCAGTGTTTACCAAGAAATTAGTTTTAATTAAACAATTAAGAAAATTGTAGCAGAGGCCATTTGAGAAGGCAATTTGTGCAGCATTGTTTTTGCTTCAAAAAGTGCACCACTAGGACAGACAATTATAATATAGAATGGACAGGTGATAAATCTTGCCCAATCAAATAAGCCATAATTTCTAATAAATAAAACAATAAAAGGGAAAAGTAACATAATTCCTGTTTTACTAGTTGGGTGTCACAAAAGAGGGGTCAAACCACTTTACAATACCTTTTTCATACAATTCTTAATTTTTTAAAAACTACGAGCTATGCTGGGATTTGAACCAGGACTGCTAACATGTATGAGTCAGATACTCTAACCACTTGGCCATCGCAGCCACATTTTATCTATTTAATTTTTTCTTCTATATCTTGGTTATTTTTGACTTTATTAATTAGTTTATATCCTCCCTTAAATTTCTCTTCCTCTTCCTTTGTGAATATATATACAATATTGATAATTTTATGAAAGTTCTCTGTTTGCACCAATTCTTGCATGTTCTTATTTAAATGCGGCATCGATGTTAGAATAAATTAAGAAAAACTTGAACAGAAGGATCTTTGGTGAGGTCACAACAGAAACGACAATTCTTTAATTTGCCGAGGTTTCTACGATTATATTGTCATCATCAGGGCTTTAACTTGATGAGTGTTGAGATATATCTTGAGAGCAAGAAACTGCATTTATAATAAAATTAATTAAAATTAGGTTAAGCGTAGTATCTCGGTTAAACATAACTATAAGTACACGTCTCTTTTTCTTAAAATATAATAAAATAAAATAAATTTTTTTCTCAGGTACATTAGAATATCACAGTTGAGATTAGTTAAGCTTTTTTTTTTAATTGTACTATATATAGTTAATTCAAAATAAAAGTGCCAACTTATAACAAAAGGGAGAGACATGAGGCTCAGGTGGCTTTTCCATTACAAGTGTGATTTAAAAAAAATCTAAATTATCGTTTCTTTCATAATTTTCACCATATTTCTTAAAAAGACCTATAAAATATAAATTTCTAATTTATATTGTGAAAATTATTCACTCACAACTGACATAAAAATATCCTTCTCAGTATCCAGGAATGAAACCCTGTCCAGACCTTTCAAGACTACAGCTGGAGTGCCCCAGGGGTCAATTTTGGGCCCTGTATCTTTTTATGTGTATACAAATCTAAAAGTCTGCCCGTGAAATTGCCATTTGGGAATGTATGTAGATGACACTACTTTATTTTGATAAAGAACCTGAATCACGACTTAAAATCCATTAACAATTTTTAAAAAAGGTAGAAGCTCAAAATTAATACATAAATTGAAATGATTTTCTTGATCAGAAGGTGTCTTGTTATTCAATATCATGTGACCTTTGATGTTTTGAAAAAAAATTGGTTAGAAAATGTTAAAATTCTTAATGGTAACTTAAGACAAAAACCTTGATTTCTTTGAAAAACATTTCTTAATCACAGTTTGCTATTTTCAATTATCCGGATTTCAGGTATTAAACACACATCACCAGTTGTAATTCCTCAAACTGATGATGAGTGTTTAATGCTTGAAATCTGAATCATTGAAAACAACAATCTGTGAGTAAAAACTGTCTTTTTAAGAAGTTGAACGACATACTCACCCCACCTTTATTAAGGATAATTTCTCTAACATAAGAAAATTTAGTTTAAAAAAAAGTAGCTATTAAATCCTCATTTCCAATCAAGCATGTTGCAAAAAAATCTTGATTTACATGCTTCTTTAAGCTGTCCCAGTCTGGAAATATATATGCCATAGTAACATCAAACATTACAGATAATTATAATTAATTAAGGTTTTTAGTTAAGATAAAAAATTCAATGTCATGAGTGGGATACGAATTCACAATCTTCGGCTTGATACGCCGCTTCTCTACCACTTGAGCTATCGTAACCTCGATTTGCTCGGACACCAACTTCCCATCTCAACCGCACCTTTTGAATTTTCCCTTCTTTTTGCCATTTTTCAAGTGTAGTGTATTTGGATTGGATTCTCGACGACAAATGAAATGGCCACGGAGAGCTTTAGTGAAGTATACTTCATTTTCAATCATTAAATTCACTAATTTCGTGATCCACTTGACCAATTAATATATTTTAATTAATTAAGGTTTTTAGTTGAGATAGAAGTTGGTGTCCGAGTGGATCGAGGTCACGATAGCTCAAGTGGTAGAGCAGCGGCGTATCAAGCCGAAGATCGTGAGTTCGTATCCCACTCGTGCCATTGAATTTTTTATCTCAACTAAAAACCTTAATTAATTATAATATATTAATTGGTCAAGCGGACCACGAAATTAGTGAATTTAATTACAGATAATATAAAATATATTTTTAAGAAGGCATATTCTGCTACATGAAATCTGGTACATAAAATTTAGTGACTTCACCATGCTCTATTTAATATTGGAATAGTAAAAACACTAGTATTTTCTAGATTTCTAGAAAAATATTTTAAGAGAGTAGCCAACAATCTACTTTGTAGTAAAAATATTGGGAAAATTATACTGAAATCAGGTAACTCTAATGTGAACGGGCTGACAATTGAACAAAAACTGTAGTAACCCCCACACCCTTTGGACCAAAACCACAAATTGGCATGCTAAAAATGGAATGAAACAAATGGTTGGAGAATTAATGGTGGTTCTTCTAAAAGTGGAACTGAAGTAAGGAATGACCGCACACTTAATGTATTCAACAGGTGCAAAAACAATAAGACATCTCAAGACAGGAGAGACTTCAAAGACAAAGACATAAACATCTCAACTATTAAAACAAAAAGTCTCTCTTTCTCACTAAGCAAAAATTAAGGAAAACAATAGGCCATTGCCTATTTAATTACCAACTCAAAAAAATTAAAAAAAGGTCAAAACTGAGCCAGAAACTTGCCGAATTTGTCTTGAAGAGGCAGAAAGATTAGCAAATGACATAAAAAGGTTTTATTTTTTAAATGAGAATTTTTTTCACTATAGTTGGGTGCTTTCTGAGCACTTCAACCATACATTTAATTCTTTTCTTTTTAAACTCTTCAAATGTGAGGTTGTGGCTCGATTGCGCCATACCGACTATTTTCAGTTCACCTTCAGCATCTTTCTGTTGAGCTAGTTTCTTTTCTATAGCTTTCTTCTTTTGCCTCTTTAACAAATATTTTTGTTTGTCAATTGGCTGATCAGGCTTGTAGTCGCGTTTTTTGAGCAGGTAATCAAGGGCTGATATGTAGCGGCCTACGAGTGACACCCCGAACGGGATTCTGTCCAATTCATCTTCTGTGAACTCGTACGTAGGCGGAGGATCGTTCGTTTCTGGGCATGTACATTCAAAACGGTCTTTAACTTTGTCTTTCGTTTGTAGCAGTTTTCCAATTTCAGTTTCAGAGTCCATAGGCGTCGCCAAGGCTTTGTCAACAGCTTCTTTGACAATCTTTTGAACTGATTTAAATTTCACAAAACTTTCGGTAAAATCTGGTCGGTTGATGAGCAAAGCATCATCATCGCTCGAGCTCTTCTGTGAAGGCGGTCGTTGCTTTTGATCCATCTTGACTTTGAGCTTAGACAAAAGAAGATTTCCGTCATCTTCTGAGGAAGCTTCAGAGTTTCGGTCCTCTCCCTAAAACAAGATTTTCAATTCTCACATTCAATTCATTAATTTAAAAAAAAATTAAACCAGTGATTCACAAACTGTGCGCCATGGCTCCTTAGGATGCTGTGGCTGTGTTACTAGGGCATTATGAAAATTTTGTATAAAAAATATTATTTTTATATTTAGAAAAAAAAACCCTAAAAACTAAGACCCTGGTGGCCATCCAACCTCAATATGGATGTTAACGAGACAGCTGCAATTGTATATTTTATATTATACAATAAAGCTTTAAAAAAAGTATTCCCTTTTGTATTTTTGCTTTTAAGTATATAATCGCTTTTCAAAATTTCACAAAAAAGACAGGAGTTAATTATTTATTAACTTACAGACAAAATAAGAAGTTTAGATGTATCAATGCTTTTCTGAATGGAAAATGAATTACTACTATTATCATAAAATTCACTCTAAGATGTTTTGATTTGGCACGCCGTGGAAAAATTCCAATATATTAAGGGCGCCAGAAAAAGAAGAAGTTTGGGAACTGCTGATTTAAAATAATAATGCGGTTACCTGTAATATCTCATCCATTTGGAGTTGGAACATTCGTTGGTAACTTAAGAGATATTCACCCTGACCCGGTTCTTCTTTTAGGGTGTAAGAGATGAATTTCTGGTATTCTCTCATAATTTCCTTAATAAGTTCCATTCCCACTGTTTTCTCCTTGTTTAGCATTGCATTCAAATGGTTTGATTCATCGAGATCACACATCAAGTTGACTAAGATTGTCAAGAGCGATTTTTCTCTCTTTTGATGTTTCATTTCCAAAGACAAGAGATTTTTTCTATGCTGTTTCTTAAGCTTTATGAGAAGATCATAGGTTTTCTTTGTGTAAGCTGTATTAGTAAGGTGCCCTTTGTATTTTTCTTCCGCTTTCATCTGGGATTGAAATTTTCTCATCCATTGGCAACATCTGCGGTGGAAATCCCTAAAAATCCAAATTTGTTTAATTGTCAATTCACTTGCATTTAATAGTTTATTCAAACCTCATTTTTCCTTGCGCTTTTTCAACACTATCCAAAATTTTCATTTCAGCATCGAAAGCGTACAATTTTTTAATATCTTCTTCTTTTTGTTTTACTGCATTTTTAAGCTCGCATGACATTGAATTTTTGAGGTTTTGAATTTCTAAGCTGTGCTGTTTATCTAATTCGTCTTTAAACTTTGATAGCGTCCTGTCCATGAGGTTCTGTAATAACATCATGATGAAGCAATTGTTAATTTTGTGGCTTGATCATCCTGGCCTGCCTTTTCTCTCTGGTTGAAATTTAACCATTTTCGATCAACCACTGAATATGGCAGAAAGCCAAAACATAGCTGACAGATGAGATAAGCCTGGTTGATCACATTGATCAAGCTTTTCTGATCAAACCTATTGCTTAGTTTCACATCAATCCAATGAGATCTTACCTCAAACTCCTTTTTCATGTTTTCTGTTTCAATTGAAAGTTTTGTATCATACTTTTGCCTCTCCAGATTTCTCAGTTTGACTAAGTGCTCTTTCAAAGCATGAGTAAATATAAGATCAGCTCGTTTTATGGCTGATTTAAGAACATGATCAAACCTTTCCATGACTGCTTGTTCCTCAACATCTTTCTCAGTATTAGAATCTAAAATAAATATAAAACACTAATAGCAATAAATATAAATAACACATAATAGCATACGCTGCGCTTTTCCGGGTATTTTATTCATGTTGAAGGTTTTCAACCTGCTTATTGGTGGCTTATGGATGAACCGAAGAAGTTGTCTGTCAATATCTGAAAGCCAGATTGTATCTTCATTGATTTCCCTTTCCTTCGAATAAATAAATGTAATGAAAAATGTGTATTAATTAATGAATGTATAAACTCACTTTAACTGGCTCGGCTGGAAGTGGTAGTACAGTACGTCTAATCTCATCTTTAAGCCTAGGGCCAAACTTTGATATGTACTGCCTTTTTCTGACGTTCCAAATGTTCATGCGAGTGTCTGTAAATTATCAGATTCAATTTTGTGTGAACTGTTATTCGTTAGAATTGTTTCCAACATGTTATGAATTTGTGTGTTTTAATTTTTTTAATTGTGCTGTAATTGTCTTCTGATTAAATAAGAATGATAGTGTACAAGTTTGCAGAATATTACTTTATTAATTGAGGTGAGCAATAGAACAGTTAAACTTCTATACGGCTACTTCCATAATTTATTCTCAAAAAGCATAAAACATTCTTTCAAACAGTAATGATGCTTTCAAGATAGAAATATGTACCAGAATTTAGATTTAGATTTTTTAGTAAAAATAGATTTTCTTTGTTTCTATGTACGATAATAATTTATTCTATCAATCAATAATGGTAGCAGATAGTGTGAGATTCATGTCAGATTTTGCTCACTAATTTTTTTATTGTTATTTAACTTAGATCAACATCATAAAAAACTATAGTTATACATAAATTCACTAATTTCGTGGTCCGCTTGACCAATTAATACATAACAATTAATTAAGGTTTTTAGTTAAGATAAAAAAGTCAATGGCACGAGCGGGATTCGAACCCACGATCTTCGGCTTAATACTCCGCTACACTACCACTTGAGCTATCGTGACCTCGATCCACTCGGACACTAACTTCCGATCTCAACCCCACCTTTTGAATTTTCCCTCCTTTTTGCCATTTTTCATTCAAAATTTAAAAGGTGGGGTTGAGATGGGAAGTTAGTGTCCGAGTGGATCGAGGTCACGATAGCTCAAGTGGTAGAGCAGTGGCGTATCTAGCCGAAGATCGTGGGTTCGAATCCCGCTCGTGCCATTGCCTTTTTATCTCAACTAAAAACCTTAATTAATTGTAATGTTATACATAAACAGAACATCTAGTACTATATGTCTCCTACTAATCACAGTAATTTAATCTATCTATATGGTGCTAGATAGTGTTAGATTTGGGGATGCCTGTCAATCCCATGATCCCAAAATTCAGATTTGATAAAAAGTTTCAAATCAAAATACCCAATATAGTTGATAAAGTTCTTTGCTTCTCTAAGAAGGAGAAAGGGTCAGGAGCTTGGATCTACAATAACCAAGAAATTGATCAATTTGCCACTGCTTTTCAGGTGTCTGTTATCTACTAGCTGTCTACTCAGTCATGCAATACTAAAGACAACTATATCGCTAGTAAACAGTTTGGGGACGCTTCAAGTCGAACATTGGGAAACAGAAAAAATTTACTCTTCATCACCAAGATACAGGGCAGGTGGGAAACAAAAAGGCTGATAAATTGGCGAAGGAAAGTTCCATGAGGACACCTATTGGCACTGAACCTCTGTGGCATATCTAATTTCTAAAAATGTAAATCCATCAGAGAATGGGTTAAGAACAGGTCCTCTGTTAATTTGGAATCAACCCAGAACAAAGGCATATGAAAAAGTTCATCAAAAGCCCATCACAGTACTACAAAACCTAGATATGTTGGGACTGAATTGGTAGTAACACTGCTGACTGGATACAGCAAGCTCTGAAGACTGAGAGCAGTGGAAATAAGCCTGTGCAAATATTGTCAGGAAGCAGAACAAACAGAGGAACAAGTCTTCTGTTAGAGTGAAGGCCTGTACATGCAGCGATTCTTCTGAAAGAGGAAAAACCAAGGACTGAAGGATACACATGGGAAACTTTAACAAAGCTTTGGGATCTGGTAAAAATTAGTTAGCCAGTTTAAGCTTAATGAAGAGGCGCAATAAACCAATAATAGTTGCAGTGTGCATGCTCATAAGCTGACACTTTTTAACCTCAACCTTAACCTTAGCGTTAAAATCATCTCAGATTTTTCCCATTAATGAAATATTTTTATTATTAGCCAAATAATAATTCAGCATCATCAAAAACAATAAATAACAATAAATATAGCATCTAATAATTGATACAGATGTCACAGTTTCTGGCAAACTAATGATACGGGATGGATAGTGTATATGTTGTGTACAATAGAACATCTAGTCACCAACATAAGTTATTCTCTTAATCAGTAGGTAATTATGCTTTGTAGATAATAGTAAGAAAAAATTAGGAATAGGGTGAATTTGAAAGAAAGAAATATGCTCAGTTTCTTCGTCAAGCCATTCGAGGAATATATCTTATATAAAGGGTGGTGCATTCTTAAACGCGCCATAGGAAAGACAATACACTGCTTGCTAAAATATATTTTTCTGTTATTTTCCAATGAAAACAAATGTTTTTGGTAAACATTGAAAGAATTGAATTCCAATTTTGCAATGTAAAGGTTACATAAATGAATTTTATTGTGCATCAAAGCTACATAATTCACTGATGAGAAATGAAAATAGATTAAATACTTTTCTAAATTAAAAACAATGTGACATTTTTTTTAGTGAAATTCTGAAAAAAAGAAGCATAATGTTATTATGATGAATGAAGTCAAATGAGGAGTTCAAAGACATCTCCTTCAGCTGGAGCGCTGTTAAAATCTGTTATATTCCTGTTGTACTCAGTCATACAGGTGTGATATTACAACATGCTTGTATAGCATGCTGACATCGGTTTAGTTTTCAAAGCAAGTGGAATTGGTATAAATTTTAAACTTGATATGATGTCAAGGTCAGGCAAACGAGGTAACCATATAAAATGTCTTCAAACACATTCCACATGTAAATTGATGAAGATTTGCAATTATATGCTGGGCACTCATCATATTGAAAATAAACATGAATATTTCCAGCAAAATTAACAATTATTGGCACGGTCTCATTTTTCATTGTAAGACTACATCGTATATTGTTTCCATTTTATGTTTTCTAAGAAATGAAAATTAATTAAAGTTTTTAGTTGAGATAAAAAAAAGTTAATGGCACGAGAGGGATTCGAACCCACGACCTTCGGCTAGATACGCCGCTGCTCTACCACCTGAGCTATCGTGACCTCGATCCACTCGGACATCAANGAGTGGATTGAGGTCACGATAGCTCAGGTGGTAGAGCAGCGGCGTATCTAGCCGAAGGTCGTGGGTTCGAATCCCTCTCGTGCCATTAACTTTTTTTTCATCTCAACTAAAAACCTTAATTAATTGTCATGTATTAATTGGTCAAGCGGACCTTGAAAGTAGTGAATTAAGAATTTTCTAAGAAAATATATTTCAAAAAATCTCATCAGGCTGTAAAACATGTCATGATAATTATGCTGCATCATGAGAAATATCCACTTCAAATTGCCTCATTTGGCTACTGTGTTATGGCTGAAAGGGATGCCTTCAGAACAAAATTTGACTTCAAGTTCATTCGTTGATACCATTAAACATTTTTTGCTTTGCTTTCGTCAACTGTACAAACTTTTTTATGTTCTGTTTAACTTAGGAAAGTGCCTTTTCATTTCATATCAGTATATTTATTTAAATATAGAATGATGTTTTGTTTGGCCTAATTCATTTGGTAGCAGATTAACATAGCAAAATTGTAGGTAAATTGTTTCAGTGTTTACCAAGTAATTAGTTTTAATTAGACAATTAAGAAAACTGTACCAGAGGCCATGTGAAAAGGTGATGCATTGTTTTTGCTTCAAAAAGTGCACCACTCTGACAGACAATTATAATGTAGAATGGACAGGTGATAAATTTTGCCCAATCAAATAAGCCATCATTTTTAATAAATAAAATAGTAAAGTAAAAGTAAAAAGTAAAGTAATTCCTCTTTTACCCATTGGGTGTCGTGGAAGAGGGGTAAAACAACTTTACAATACATTTTTCATAAAATTTTTAATTAAAAAAAATTATGCACTATGCTGGGATTTGAACCTGGACTGCTAACATGTATGAGACGACACCCTAACCACTCAGCCATCACAGCCACATTTTATCTATTTAATTTTTAATATTGTGAGTTATAAAATATTAGAAATATTTCAAAGTCCTGAATTAAGGTATCTTTTGAAAACTTGATGAAGGAACTTGGAGTAGTTTCCTTTCTGTCAAATTCATCTTAACCCGGATTTTTTATATACTATTTTAATATTAAGGAAAATATAATTCAGATCAAGATAATTTGTACAAAATGTAATATGTATTTTGCTCAGTATTTTATTGTTTCTTTAGGAGGGTTAGCATCATGGCAAAAAATAATTATAGAATAAATGGAATATTTTCTTTCCAATTTATTATATCAATCAGTAATGGTGCTAGATTTTTTAGATTTTGATTGTTAATGAATTATAAAAGACAGAATTATGAATTTTTTAAATTTTTCTGATTTTTTTTCTATCTGGCATTCTAAGAAATGTTGTTCGATTTGTCCCACACCACCCACGATGTGTGAAGGGTGCAATTTCCTGGCTCTGTATAGAAAGCGCGTAGGAATACTACTCAATATGAGAATGGCAGTGAGTATGTGTGTCCTGATTGGAGGAAATGGGACTGTTTTATTGTATATAGTAACAGCTTTGTCTATCAAGCTTGTGTTGAGGGTGAATGTATTTATTAGCGTGAATATGTGGCGTGAGAGGGTTGTTGGTGGCATATTGGCATCGACCCTCAAGTTAGTTATATAAAAGGTGTAAAGGGCGATGGAGGAATTTCGAGTACTCTACCACTCTGAGTGATTGGTGAGTAAATTGGAAAGAATCTATTTAAGAGTGAGTTAGAGTGTGAATGAGGATTGGATGGGAGATGATTGCTTGGGTGCTGAAATGACTTAAATGTTGATAGCACCTGCCCAACCTCAATGGCTGGACAGATAAGACCGAGGTCTGTGACTCCGGATCGCCAACACCTTGCCAATGGACTGTGAGATGTGATACGTTCAATTCTGTACACGTGTGTAGTAGATGCATGTGCAGATTTGAGCTCATATAAATCAGTAATCATCAATCAGTTTCCCATTGGGGTCACAATTTTTTTTAGGAAATGAGGTTCTTTAACGTGCGTACCTGGCACATAGGTCTTATCACACATTTAGTTTCTCAAGTTAGGATTGATTCACCTCTGCTCATGGTAGGCAGTGTGAATACTATGAGGTTCGGTGTAGACACCAAACCCACATTCTAATCAAACAGACATGCTGACTTCTTTCACTTGCTTCTTCTGAAGAGGTGGGTTAACAATTTGCCATGCATAAAGGGATACCTGAAAGAGCTGAATCAGCCGGTCTTCCAATGCATTGTTTAGAGAAGACAACTCTACCTCCCTGAGTGTAGGGCCCTGCTAGCACCGAAATTACTGAATACGCTCCGGCCGTTGTTTCAATTAAAGTGGAATTTCTAACCACCCCCTAGAGGAGACTGCTTTCAGTAAAGGAAGCCCATAAAGGCACCACCGAACAACAGGCTCTTCTCTAACTACCCACCAGGGGTCTCACCTATGGCCAACGACAAATCCATTCCCACATAGCACGCTACTTGGCTTGGAACTGAAGATACTGTGCTATCCCACTGTACAGCTGGTCATGCACTCTCCCCTATCTATGCAGACAGGATCTGGTACCCTAACCCATGTGTGCCACTAATCAAGCACCCACTGTCCGTGGCCAGCTTGCAAGCCAACACTCCCTTAATGCATTTCGAGGGACTGGGTAGGTGTAGTCTTTGCAACCTCGCATACTATACACTTCCTTCGTCCTATCTTCCAAGAAACATTAAGCATCAGACCGTGTGCCGCTCAGAAAGGGTAACCCCAAGAGGCTGAAATGCATCAGCCTAGGTCGTCCTGCCATTCTCCCTAGATAGAGAAGGCAACCCTATCTCCCATTGTATGAGGCTCCTCCAGCGTAAGAACTACCGGATCCGCTCCAGTCATGGTTTTGTTTAAAGTGAAATGACTAACCACCCTCTAGAGGAACACTGCCCTACTCATACTAAGTTCTCGCCAAGAGCCTCGCCATTAAGCCACTACGAGTCCATTCCCATGTAGCAGGGTTTGGACTTGAACATTTTTTGCTACCCTGTAGGTCAGATGGTTTGCACCCTCCCCCGTCTATGCAGACGGGCTCTAGTGCCTTAACCCTAGTGTGCCTCTGATTCAGCACCCGCATCCGCTGCCGACCCGGAGACCGACACTAAACGAGCTTGTGCTTTAAAGAATGTGCCATGTTCTCAAGTTACACCATTATTTTGTGCCTGGAAACCCCCTTGCGACCAAGGGTAGGGAAGGGTCTGTTGAAGCCTCCTTGTAGAACCCACTGCACAGTCCCGGAAATTAGATTGAGAGAAAAGGACATGCCGAGGCCCAAGCTCACCTTTGCAGGATACACCCGAGCCTCTAACACGATCTACCGCTCATTGTTATCACGGTCCTTAATCATAAATCAGTAATCAGTATAAAATGTCAATCTAAATTAATTGTTTAAAATTAAAGACATATGGTATTAAATTTTTGTAAGTTAGTGAATCAGACTTTACCGCCGACTTCTTTGAATGCGTCAAATTTTCTGAACAAGTCGGAAATCCTTGCGTTTTTCGTGTGATCGCAGATGCATTTCCACTCAACATCCTTTTCTAACGAAATGACCGATGCGTCGGTCCTGTCGGCCGACCGGTTCACCTTTTCTGCCGACTCATCCGTCCTGTAGGTCTGCTCTTCCAACTTGTCGGCAGACGTGTCCGTCAAGAAGGCCTTCTCAGGCATTTCTTCTTTCTCCTCGGCATCGGCTACTTCTTCTGCATCGGTCCTGACCTGACTTGCCGACTTGTGGGACTTCGTGTCTCGTTCGCTCTTTATTTCCGCCAGATCAAAGCCGAAGGAGGTGAAGAAATCCGTCTCCATCTTTTCAATGTTGGCTTGGGCTTCTTCCCTCCTGTGAGGGATTCGGCCCGAAGATAAATTCGTCGAAGGTATGCTGAAGTTGACCATTTCGGTTATATTCGGTACGAAGACCCTGATGGATGAATTTAGACGAACAGGGCAATTTTTCAGGAAACGTTTAATCGGAAGAACAAAAAATTGTGACGAGAAAATACATATGACTTCGAAACGTGCGGTAAAATAAAATAATTAAAAACCAAAAGTAAATTTTTATAGTTTTATTAAAAAAACAAAAATTGACTTTAATAAGTTAAAACATTTCGATTTTTATCTCTTTCCTCCTGAGGTATCCTCTCCTTACTGTTCCAAATGCCATATGCGAAATACACCAGCAAACCTAGAACACCAATCGTATTTAATTTGGAATAATAAAATAAATACTTTGTCATTAAAAAATTAATTACCCATTAACAACCATACAACAAATCGGAGCCATGTCGCAGGAGGGAGTTTCAACATTAAATAAACATTAATAAATATGCAGACAATAGGAAGTAAAGGAACAGGCGCAACCTGTGGACAATTTAAGTTTATCAAAAGAAAGCTTATCCTTAAAAAAACAAAAAAACAATATTACCTTAAAAACTAATTTCATTTTCGATTGTGGCTGTCTAGTTATAACGACGATTATAAGTACAAGTAGCAAGCTGAAAATAATAGCCAAGATTATCGATGATGATTCTTCTTCTACCAAACTTTCTTCGAGAAACGCAAAAACCGAGCCGAGAAGAAAAGACAAAACGACTGAAAAAAAAATTTCCATGATTTTCTTTTTACTTTTGCCCTTGTCATATTCTTACCGGCCAGGTACGTGCTAATTTTGACCACGTTGCTCGATGTTGTGTCCGGCTCGTTTGTCTTCGGCACGTTGAACATCTTCTGGAGAAGAGATTTGTCCCGTTGTGTGTCTTCCATGATGCCGTCTTCATATCTAAATTTACAAACAAATTTTACCGCATTTACCAAAAATTTATTTTAAAATGTTAAACGTTGATATTAACCTTAATATTAAGATGCATACACCGACCATCGTGTAGGCCATGAGCGTACCGAGTGCTGTCATGTCTAGAAGCTGGCTCGTGTTGAAAATCAGCGATATCAGCCCTAAAAAAATAAATCGTTGTTTTATTGATTTATTCAGAGATTTGGCTTTCATTTACCTGTCAAAATACCGGAGACGATCGTAGCTCTGATCGGCGTTTTGGTACGAGGGTTGATTTTTGCAAGCCAGGAAAATATGAGACCGTCTTCTGCTATTGAATACACGATCCTGGCCATCCCAAAAACTGAAGAAAGCAAACTAAAACAGAAAAAAGATTACAAATTTAATAACCACGGCCAGAATTATTTACGAAAAGACCCTACTCCTTTCCCAACCAGCCTTTTTGGAATTTGAGCACTTATTTCTGTCCTAATTTTCTGATTTATGTGGGGTTATTTCATTTTCAAAGTAGCAGTCTGCAACCGGGGTAAATTATCACAGTCTCGAAGGAAAAGTTTCAATATATCTTCATATTTTTTACAAAGTCGCCAAGGTTTTGATTCAGCGTTTTGAGGTAAAGTTCAAAGCGCATTGGCCAGCGATAAGCCCACAATCATCCAAAACTGGAAAAATGGCTTGAGAAATAAAAACTCTTTCACTGAACAGAAGCATCAGATAGCAACTAAGAAATTTATAAATCTCTCAAAAAGGAAGGCAAAATTTGAGGAGAATTTATAGGCCTCTGGTCTGTAGGTGTATATAGGGTCTCTGTAGGCCTATAGGTCTACTGGTTATAGCCCTCTCCCTCCCAGAAACGCCGACTCTGTCAAGAGAATCCACATCGACAATTATATTTTGTGAATGTTAGGCACTATCCCGGATACAGTATTCCCAATTAGGTAAGCTGTCACACCCATGGGACCGAAACCACAACTAGCTGGACTGGAGAAGGTCGAAAACACCAGTTGTAAGGCAAACTAAGAGACGATGGACAAATCAGAGACACGGTACCTGTATAAATGTGAGGCACTAGGCACGCCAGTAAGACGATTCTCAAACTAAGAGGTAGTTTTGTAAGGAAAAGCGCACATACCACGGTATAGTCATAATCATGGTGTTCCACAATAAATTATATATGAAGGTTGTGATGATAGTGTCATAATCTTTCCTTTATGATTTACCAGGTTATCTGCATAACCTATGGTATGTATTCTAAGCTGTTAAATTCTGTGATTAAATCATCAACTACTAGCAGCCATAGGAATGCCTATAGTACCCATCCATGGGATGCTAGATGAGATAGTTATACATTGCTATAATTGTGAGATTTCTCCAGTCTGCGGAGTGAAACCTGTAATTTAATCGATACCGTCATGACCAATCCAGCGAGAAGACTGGCAACAACCAAAATGGCAAGTACTGTTGGGGCGGCAGGCTTCTGGGGAGGAGCGAGTGTATCCTGAAAAGTTGAGCTTGATAAGCCTTGGGGACTGACGTGCCCGGAGCCTGGCGGGATGGTTGGCTCTTGGAGGGTCTCGTTCTAGAGATCCACAGAAGGGAGGTGGTTATAATGTGGAGAAGGGTAAAATTGAACGAACAGGTCGGATGCCTTTTGGGGCAAGCGCATCGCGAAAATTCCTTTTTTTCTCAATCCAAATCTTGGCACTGAGCATTGGGTGCTCCTAGAAGACTCCAGCAGACCCTTCCCAACCCTTGGTTGCAAGGATTTCCAGGCAGAAGATAATGGTGCAGCCTTGAGAATGTGACATACACTCTCAAGCATAACCTGGTCGACTTCCTTGGCGCGCATGATCGCCTTAAGCATCCTCTGCGTGCTTTTGGTTGATAGGTCCAAGGAAGGGTATATCGTGCGAGGATGCTAAGACTACGCCTATCTAGTCCCTCGAGATCCGTTAAGGAAGTTGTTGGCTTAAGAGCTGGCCTCGGATGGCGGGTGGTTAGGGATGGTTAAGGATGGAAGAAATGGTGTAAGAAGTGGCTCCTGAACAGAAGCTGTAATACCCACATCAATTTGATGAAAGATCTTTCCCTTGAACCCTCTGATTGGAGTAACTATTTAAGGATGGATGAAACGTCTTATTTATTCATTATATTTAATGTTCTATTGACAAAATTACTTCTTTCAATTAATTATTTTTTGTAAGGTTTTGGATGAAATGAAAAGCTAATGCCACGAGCGGGATTTGAATCCATGGCCTTCGGCTAAATACGCCGCTGCTCTACCACTTGAGCTATCGTGACTTCGATCCTCTCCGACACCAAAAAAATGGCAAAAAGAGAGAAAATTCGAAAGGTTGTAGGTTGAGATGGGGAGTTGGTGCCCGAGTGGATGGAACTATCGAAGTCAGTATAGCTCAAGTGGTTAGCGCAGCGGCGTATTTAGCCGAATGTCGTGGATTCGAATCCCCTCGTGACACTAGTTTTTCATTTCAACCAAAACCTTACAAAAAAAAGATTAACGTTTTATTTATATTTACTCCAGCTTGTTACCCCCTTCATTAGAAAACAAAAGACAGTCATGAGAGAAATCATCACTACATGAAAGGTTGGCAACCACATTACGATTTCTCGCTACAGGGATGAACTACAAAGAACTTAAGTTCTCTACTACGATTTTTGATCATTGTTAGGGGTTATCAATACTGCATCTCTCGTTGCATTTGTATCCTTTGTTTTGGAAACGTCGACCAACTGGTTGAGGATCGAATTTCTTTTATTCATCTAGTGAATTACCTTCTCAAAATGGATGACGATCTCTTGTGCTACGCTGTCGTTTATTTATATATTAAAAGCAAAAAACCGAAGAGGAAATGGTGTTAGAAGTGGCTCCTGAACAGAAGCCGTAATACACACATCAATTTGAAGAGATCTTTCCCTTTCAGTTCATGAAGTTTCATGAAAGAACCCGCTGATTGGAGAAACTATTTAAGGATGAATCTTATTATATCGTCTTATTATATTCATCTTTAGTGTTCTATTGACCAAATTACTTCTTTCAATTAATCTTTTTTGTAAGGTTTTGGTTGCAATGAAAAGCTAATGCCACGAGCGGGATTTGAATCCATGGCCTTCGGCTAAATACGCCGCTGCTCTACCACTTGAGCTATCGTGACTTCAATCCTCTCGGATACCAAAAAATGGCAAAAAGAGGGAAAATTCGAAAGATAGATTGAGATGAGAAGTTGGTGTCCGAGTGGATCGAACTATCGAAGTCACGATAGCTCAAGGGGTAGAGCAGCGGCGAATTTAGCCGAATGTCGTGGATTCGAATCCCCTCGTGACACTATTTGTTCATTTCAACCAAAACCTTACAAAATAAAGATTAACGTCTTATTTATATTTACTCCAGCTTGTTAACCCCTTGATTAGAAAACAAAAGACAGTCATGAGAGAAATCATCACTCTTCATGAAAGGTGAGCAGCCACTTTACGTTCTCTAAGTTCACTTATGTTCTCTACTACGATTTCTGATCATTGTTAGGGGTTATCAATACCGCATCTCTCATTGCATTTGTATCCTTTGTTTTGGAAACGACCAACTGGTCGAAGATCGAATTTCTTTTATTAATATCGTGGTAATGATTGTCCACAACTTTCCGTAAACATAGTAAACTTTCATACAATTCAATCACCTCAACAATATAATCCCGATTGGATGTCATTACCAATAAAGGATAAACGTTTTTGACTTTTTGAGAATGTACGACGGAGATGTTTGCTTAGTGACAGAAAGACGGAGACTGCGCCAAAAAAACGAGGGTTTTCCCATTCACGACCAGGCCACCGCGCCAAAATCCACACCCTCCACGCCAGATTTTCCCATTCACGAACGCGCCATGCTGTCGTCGCGCCGTAGATTTTTGGAGTGGCGCGATGGAGTTTGAACCGGTCGAATATTCGGCACAGCCGGGCACGCCAGTTCAGTTTTGCCATTGACGTGTTTTTTGAAAGTTTGGACTGCTACGAGCGATCGTGAATGGCCACCTTAATCTTATGCGTGAGAAACGGTGGATGGGGGCGGATGTTTTTCGGTGGTGCCTGTATGGGCTCGCTCTCACCGAAGGCATGGACTCCTCATTACGGTCAAAATATAACACATTGTTTTATGTACATCAGGAAAGAGGAACTGATTTATTTTTGTAAATATAGAGATGTGTTTTACGAAGTGTGAAAACAATGATATAACATGTAGGGGAAATTAGTTTTGTAGAATCGTTGAAAGTGACTCATGTTGATTTTCATGACAAAATAATTTCAAGGTCGAATCTAAGACAATTATTTCAATTTGCAGAAAAAAACCGCTTGTTTAATCTTAGCAAATATTGTTTTTCAGCATTATAGATATGGGTATTCATGAAAAATTTTGCTAATCGGGCTGTGTGTTAAAGTCGATAAATTCTGTGATGCAAACGTGTATTGGCCATGAATAAATCATCGGCAGGCCTTTATTGTACTATGTTTAACTTGATTTTCAATTGGGGTAATATGGTTAAAACATAATTGATTACATACAACACAATTAATGGTTATTATTAAATTACTATGTATGTTGTTCCTCTAAAAATATGCATAAAAATTAATCTCATTATACAATTCTGAAGACAACAGGCTTAAAATAGTTATCCAAGTTGCTTATTTTTTGCTTTTTTTCCAATAAAATGTAAAGACATCGACGCACTTTTGGAGCAAAATACAACCTATGTTGGAACCGCAACGTTTGTCCGTTTTTATTATTCTCCATTAAAAAACCATAGGCTACGACGGGATCCGAACACTCGGTCCCCAACCGTGGCATTAATATAATTATAAATTGTAATAGACTCGATCGTCTTTGTGTTGGTAAGAAAACTCAAAAATAGCGAAAGCAATCTCGGGCAAATTCAGCGAGTATATGAGATGAGACCAGGATCAGGATCGACTAGACTAGACAAATTATCAATCTTCGAAAATTTAATATAAAACGATGTGTGCATGGCAAAATTGCATTTATAACCATAACATATAGATCATTCCAGAAAAAAAATCTTCGTTTCATTTTTTGTGGTGATTAGTGACCGTTAGTCGATGATTATTCAGAAATCGTGAGATGCGGTCTGGTGTAGGTATCAGAAAAACATTTTCTTTACCGTGCCAATGTTTCGATCTTTATTGAGAACATCATCAGGGCCTGGGATTTATAAACATTGTTTAAATTTAACAAATACATGTAGGATGTGGAAAAAAGTGAATTTATACAATGAAAAAAAATATTTTTTTATATTCAATCAAAGCATTTCTACTCACTCAAAGTGTTTGTTTTCTGCGTAATTGTCGCAAGAATGGCACAAGAAAATCCCCGGCCCTGAAGATGATCTCAATAAAGATCGAAACGTCTCTGGAAATAGTGACCGAGCAATGAAGATAGTACGATTACGATAGTGCGTGAAAGATCTTTCAATATTCTCAAACGCCAAATGATACGATATATTCCTAGCTTTTCCTATAAATTTTGTAAATTCCTGTTCGTGATTAATAACGATTTAATTGATTTTTTTAAGCCAAAGAAGTACTTAAAAAGGTAGTTTTTCAGTGAATTTCTATCCTGCTTTGGCCATCATTTTGATCTTTACTTTTCAACTTAACTCGTTCTTTCTTTCTGATTCTTTGTGAACATTTCCATTTCTACCACAGTAATACGTGGTAAGTAAACCGAAATTTTGGAAAGAAAGTGTTTACGAAATATCACAGTTCGACACCAGTTAATAGAACCTAAGGCCATGCTGTCGACCTATTGAGGATTGCATCACAGAACTTATCGACTTTAACGAGAAGTTTTTCATGAATACCCATAATATCTATAATGCTGACAAACTACATTTGATGAAATTACACATGTTTTTTCCGCAAATGGAAATAATTGTCTTAGATTCGACTTTAAAAGTATTTTGTCATGAAAATCAACATGAGACACATTCAAAGATTCTGAAAAACGAATTTCCCCAACCTAAAGATGTTATAATATTGGATTTCAATAGTCAAAAATCTTCTAAAAAGTTGAAGAATTTTGTAAGTTTACAAAATAGCACACTAGGTTAACAGATCCAAAGACCATGCAGTCGACCTGATGACGATTGCATCCCAAAATTTATCGACTTTAACAGAATAGCAAAGTTTTTCATGAATACCCATAAAATTCATAATGCTGACAAACTATATTTTCTGCAATTAAAAAAACATGTTTTTTCCGCAAATTGCATCACAGAACATATCGCCTTTAACAGACATCCCAATTAGCGACGTTTTTCATGAATAGCCATAAAATTTATAATGCTGACAAACTACATTTTCTGCAATTACACACGTTTTTCCCCGCAAATTGAAATAATTATCTTAGATTCGACCTTGAAATTATTTTGTCATGAAAATCAACATGAGTCACCTTCAACGATTCTACAAAACGAATTTCCCCAACCTACGGATGTTATCATAGAATATTGGATTTCAATTTCTAAAGTTGAAGAATTTTATTTTGACTTTAACACACAGCCCGATTAGCAATGAATACTCATAATATCTCGCCTAATGCTGAAAAATCTCATTTGCGGAAATTACACAACACTAAATAGTCGAGTTCAATTCGAAGCTCTTTTCACATAAATCATCTTGAATCTCCTACGATGATTGTACAAAACGAATTTTCCTACCAAAAATGTTCTCATAGAAAATTTATATCAAACAGTTAAATAATTACTCAAGTTTACAAAATCTAAAATGAACTTGCTATTTTTTCTCTTTTATCTTTTATCTTTTTAGTAATGAATAAATATGTTTGTATGTTTTGGCCGTGCAAACTTTTAGAAAGAGAACAAAAGAATTTACCATCCTGTAACAGCGGCTACCGCTCCGGTGACGACTATCCACTGGACGTTGTGCCACCCTAGCTTCTGCAGAATGTAAGGGTATGGGGCATTGCTAGAAAGGAGCTGTAAAAGCATAGGTTAACGTTTTGAAATGGAGACTTACACACCGAAAGACTTACAGGATCGTTGTATGGATACATGAGAGAAAAAGTCGCCGAAATCGCTGTATAGACGACAATAGCGCAAAGTATGCTTGTCAAGAGTGATATGGGTATGGTGCGCTGCGGATTCTTGGCTTCACCTCCTGTTGTTGCTACTGTGTCGAACCCAGTGTAAGCGTAAAAGCATTTCGACGCGCCTTTCATCAAACCTGAGAATCCGAATGGCATGAAGCCTCCTTTTCCGCCTTGGGGGGTTGGCTTCAACCGCCAATTGGCGATGTCGGCGCTCATGAAACCGATCACAACCAGCACGGATATGGTGATGATGTTGATCACCACGAATATATTGTTGATCGTTGTCGACTCCTTCACACCCGATATGACTACGACTGCAACATCAAAATAAATCGTATATCCGTTAAAGTTCAATTCTCATATCAGTACCTGTAAATAGCATGATCAACGCGAAAGATAAAAAGTCCGGGTATTCTGCCAAGTTGGTAAAATTCATCGGCATCGTGGAGTTCAGACTCGAGCTTATCTGCCCGTCGAATATCGAATCGATGTAACCGCTCATTCCTCGTCCTAGGCAGGCACTTCCTAAAATTAAAAACACAGAAATCTTCCCCATGTATCTATAAATAAACAATACCATAGATATTTATATATACGCCTTCAACATATCTAAAATTTAAAAGTAATAAAAGCAATATAATAGATATTAACCGATGACGAATTCCAGGCAGAGATTCCATCCAAGGATAAATGCGGTGAATTCACCGACTGTTATGTAGCAGTAGGCATATGCCGAACCAGTGCCTGGTGTACGGCCTGCGAATTCTGCATAGCACATCGCTAAAAGAAAAACAACCAGAATTAAATTGAACGGAAGGTTTATCAAGTTTAGTTCTTTACCGGAAAGTATGCAAGCGAAACCGGCCACAACAAAGGAGAGTAACATAGCAGGTCCGACGGTGTTGGAAAGATCGCCGACCATGATGTAAACTCCCATCCCGAGCATAGATCCTATACCGAGAAACGTTAGATCTAATATTGTCAGCACTCTATTCAAAGGGCCTTTCTCTTCATATCGAAATTCCTTCTTTTTGCTCATATAGCCGAAGAACTTGCTGAAGTTCTCCTGAAAATGAAAACATGGTTTATTCTTAGAATTCTTCTTTTTGGTATGTCGGACATGTTTTGGCTTTTCGTCGTAGTATTATGTATCAATTAATTATTTCTACTAAACAGCCACTTAATACCATGGTCGAATCAACCGAAACAGCAAGGATAGATATGTCAAAATTATATGACTATTGAAAATTTGTATAAATTTTAATTTTGATGTAACCATGCAGTTTGATGCTTGGTCATGACCCCCAGTTTAAGGTTAAGGTAAAAAGGTGTTGGTCTCTTTAGAACAGTACGCACCAATTTTGGTCTATTATGCAATCTCCATTATTATCTAGAATCTCACGATATCTGAATAACTATCTATTAACGGTCACTAATCTCTACACATTATCTAGAACTTTTAGTTAAGCTTAAAACCAGAAACACACTTACCCGATGCTACGCCAAGCGACGCTACCCGACGCAAATCCAAACTCCGATTTTCCATAAGGTTGCATTACCCCTGTGCACATCTACCCGATGCTATGCCACGCTAACCTAACCTACCCGACGCTCTGCGATCCCCACTGTCCAGATTTTCGTCGGGTCGCATCGAGTACAGCCGAAGACAAAAGAACCGGATACTCATATTTTTATTCAAACTGCATGTATTATTGTCGTTATATTAATTACAACATACTTATTTTAATATAAACCAAATTAACTGTGATTAAAAATTAATTAGTTTTTATTTAAAAAATTAATTTTAATGGTTTGGTAGAAAATTAATCAAAACACCGGAATACGATTTTTTGATATAATGAATTTAACTAACAATTTATTGTACTCGCTTCGGCGGTACATATACTAAAATTGGAACAATTTATTACACGGTTTTGCTCATAAAATTTAATTAACAATTTATTTCATAGTTTTGCTCGTAAAATTACACCATTTTGTAATGTCGGGTAGCATCAGAACAGGACACTCATATTTTTTGTAGTTTATTTCAAACTAAGTACATGTAATTTTGTCGTTATATTAATTACAACATGTTATTTTAATGTAAACCAAATTAAACGAGATCAAAAATGCATAAGTTTTTATAAACATTGTTTAATTATGATGGTTAGGAGTAACTTTATTTAAAACAATTAAGTTTAACAAACAATTTATTAGATGGTTGTGCTCATAAAATTTAACTAACAATTTATTACAAGGTTTTGCTCAAAATAGTGCATTAAGAACAAAAGATGCGTTGCGATTGTGATAGTGATTATTGTGATAAACGCTGTGGACTGTACGCGACATGTGCTTGCGTCGGATAGATGTGCACACCCCACCAAAACGTGGCAAGGCGTCGGGTTAGCATCGGGTAGCGTCGCATGGCGTAGCATCGGGTAAGTGTGTTCCTGGCTTAAAACTTTTCATGAGATTCCGAAGCTTTGTAACTTCTGCTGTGTATATCCGTCAGTCTTTTCCCGTCCCAAAAGTAGGAATCTCAGCCTGTCTAGGCACCAACAGACTGTCCAGTCGGCAGTCCATCATTCTAGCCCTATCAGGTCATAGTTTTTGTAGTTCTGCAATGGCCCTTCGATGAATCTTTTTCGCATGGTTCTCTGCTGAAACATAGTCTCATTAAACCTAGGACTTATTTTTTAACCTGTTGCTTAATGGATCCATGTTTTTGACATTTCGATATGCACCAAAAGAGTTCAGAGCAGATAGATGTCGACATCGAACTTTCCTTGGCCATTTTTTAGGTCAAGAATGGCACTAATTTCTAGTGCTATGGTTAACGTTAAGGTTAGAAACGACATTGCGCACTGTGACCATTATTGGTACTTTCTGACAATATCAGCACAGGGTTTTTTCTGCTGTTCTGAATCTTCTTAATCCATTTTCATCACCCCCAGACCTTAAAGATAATCCTACAGGATGTTGTGGAAAAGTTTGATTTAAGTACTCATCAATCTCCAGTTTTACTACATGAAGGTGGATAACCGAATAGACCTCTACTAGTCAAAACAACTGGCTGGGATAATTATATCCTTCATACTGCAGATATCTGCAGGGGAAAAGTTTTAGGACTTTAGGACATAACCATGCCACTGGGTAATAAATAAAATTAATAATTTCAGCAGAAGTACTGATAACTCGTGAAGGACACAGTACGGCTATGACCAAAGTACAGTTGTCTTACTGGGTCAAATACTGCTCTCTTTTCAGACATGGGGAAGAAAGAATCTATAAGAAGAAGTTTCTGAATAAGATGGCAATGGTCTTTTGAAAAAATAGACCATATTTTACTCTGCAAGAAAAGATGTTTCAGGACTTACGACCCTGTAATGGGGTTAGGTGAGAAGTACTGTAAGTACAGAACAGGGAAAGCAATAGTCTTTAAGTACGCAGTATGGCCTCATCATGAAATCTACAATCTACAACCCACATATAACTTAATCTTTAATTTGAATTTTGAACTTTTTCTATGATCGAATGTTTTTCCCAAGTTCTGGAATTATTGGAATTTTTTGTCCCAAATGACTCGCAATAAAGCATAAATTATACAATTAAGATTTCAAAGCACGTCTGCGAAATGCCACGTCCCGTCTCACGCCTCACCGTCGCTCTAATTCCATAGAAAGAGGAATCTTTCATCTCGGATCCTTTGAGAAGAGAGAATGAGCCAAAGGTGTGGCTTATTCACCGTTAACAAGCTCCAGTCGTCTTCCTTTCTCGAAAGGATTATCTCACGGTTTTTATTATTAAGTACAACGGGTCAGTTCTGGAAGAAACTCGAGAAGGATTTCACCGGCTATCTTTTAAACTTTAAATTTTACGCGGATCTACGTTGGATAGAATTTAATTGTGTGAAAATTCCTTCTAACTTGATCCTTTTTTTGCAAACTCACCGACTCCAAAATTTATGTGACAAAAGGCGAATGTTCATTTAAAAATAACAACAATCTGGTTCATAGTGTCAACCTAGATACCGCTTATTAAAAAAAAATATGGATAAGGTTGAAAAAACTAACGATAACGACTGATAATAATGACTTTGTACACAAAAGTTCGTTATTAACTTTCACAAGATGGACTTTAAAAAAGAAATTAATCTGTGAAAAATCATGATTAGAGCTGCCCTTGATCTACCTCGTCTTCTGTTTACACTAAACAACAAAATATAGTATACTATAATTTTTTTTCCCCTTTCTGCAAACATTTTTGAAATAAACACCACACTTCAGATTTATTTATTTAGAAATCGTGAGATGCGGTCTGGTGTGATAGGTTTCAGAAAAACATTTTCTTTATCGTGCCAACGTTTCGATCTTTATTGAGATCATCTTCAGGGCTCAAAGTGTTTTTCTTTTTTTTCTGTGTAATTGTGCCATTCTTGCGTGTCGTGTCGAGAGTGTTTTTCTGAAACCTACATCACACCAGACCGCATCTCACGATTTCTAAATAAATATCGATTAACGGTCACTAATCACCACACACTTCAGATTTATTGTAATTTTTGGGTTTTCCGGCTTCATTTAAAAAAAAGTGTATTGAAATAGTTTTAACTTTAAAATTATCATATTTTAATGTTGAAATAGGGCATAATTTTTTAGAGGATTGATTAGTAGATTTAATATTTTCATTAATTTTATCGATTATTGATTATTAATCAAGCTACAGCTTCATAATTAGTCCTCCCTTGTGCTGTAAAAGGGTCATCAAAAATACCATCTTAATCTTTCACTATTTTCACAAATTTACGCTGCAACTTTATTTCTACTTATTAAATCCATAGTTAGTGGTATTTTAACCCAATTACTTCTTTCAATTACTTAATCTTTTTATGTGAGGTTTTGGTTGAAATGAAAAAGCCAATGTCACGAGCGGGATTCGAACCCACGATCTTCGGCTTGATACGTCGCTGTTCTACCACTTGAGCTATCGTGACTTCGATCCACTCGGACACCAACTCTCCATCTCAACCTACAATCGCATTTTACCCCTTTTTGGCATTTTTCAAATGTGCAATCAGGATTCGATTCTCGGCGACATATGAAGTGGCTATGGGGAGCTGTTAGTGAAGTTATACTTCGTTTTACTTATTAAATCCATATTTAGTGATTTATTGACCAAATGAATTCTTTCAATTATTTAATCTTTTTATGTAAGGTTTTGGTTGAAATGAAAACGTTTATTTCTACTAAAGTCGTATATGTTGTAAACACTTTTATTCACTTTTAGAATTGCTTTCTTAATTTAGTTAATTTTAATAGATCAATAATGAAGTTTTTATTGAAAATATTTATAAAGAACAGTTTTGGGCGGAGTCCGAGATGCTCTTGCGTGTCAAGAGCACGATCTATAGATGGCCCTCCCTCAGCCCCCTTATGCAAAGAAAGGTTGATCGATGTGTCCCACATAATTGAGGTTTGTCATGCGTTGGCTCCTTACAGGGAGCGTGTAGGCATGCTGCCGAATTGAAGAATGGTTCTCGGGGACGGTAGCGGGTTTTAAGTCTCATGTTTCAGGACTTTCTTTTAAATCGATATATGTTGTGTCTGTGTGAATATATTAGAGAGATTGATGAGGGGGTAATGGTGTAATTAACGTCACCATCGCCCCTCCGACAATGTGTTTAAGGTCGGCAGCGAAATTGTTTATAAAAGTACTCCATCGACACCAATTTAGATTAGCTTATTACTTTTGTATGGAGAGGAGGAGATGGAGGAATATCGAGTACTTCACTGACCAACCAGAATGAGTACAATCTACATATGTGTGGTATTAAGTGACCGTTACTTGATGATTATTCGGAGGTCGTGAGATGCGGTCTGGTGTGACGTGGGTTTTAGAAAAACATTTTCTTTATCGTGCCAACGTTTCGATCTTTATTGAGATCATCTTCAGGGCTCAAAGTGTTTGTTTTCCGTGTAGATGAGTCATTCTTGTGTGTCGGCACTCTCAACACGACAGACAAAAAAAAAAGAAAACAAATAAGAAAAGATGACAGGATAAAGAAAATGT